CCAAAGTTCTTGGACTGCCGCTCCCAGAACCTCCCTCTCCCCCCCCCGCCAGCACAGCTGGTGCTGAAGGGAGGCGTCCAGGAAGGGCAGTCCAAGCCCAGCTGGGTTCCTCCCCCCCCCCCGCCAGGTGGGGAACCACTCACTGCTCACGTTACCCTTCCGTCCAGCCAGGTAGGCGCGTCGTCATGTAACAAGCTGTGCGACCCGTTCAGATGTTCTGCAACCCAGGAAAGGGTCTGTTGCATGAAAATGGGCATTCCTTAGTGGCCGAGGTCTCTGGCTGAGGAGCTACAGGTTGGGGGTTCGAATCTACCACCACCACCACCCCCGGGCTGCCTTGCATGCTCCACAGGGTCCCTCCCTGCTCTTCTCTTCCAAGATGGGCATTCCTGCCGAGGTCTCTGGCTGAGGAGCTACAGGTTGGGGGTTCGAATCCACCCCCACCACCACCCCCGGGCTGCCTTGTAAGGGGCTGGGCTCCATGCTCCACAGGGTCCCTCCCTGCTCTTCTCTTCCAAGATGATGATGAGGATTCCTTTAAGGTTGTTGTTTTGCTGCTACCGACTTACATGGCTACCCGCCCTTTTCTGAAATAATTTCCCCAGGATTGCCTCTTCACTAGAAGCGCTGGGAAGAGAGTTACCTCTGTTATACACGTTTTCCCCTCCCCTCCTTTATTAAAGCTCCTGCTTGGGAAGGAGAGTTTTATTTTTGAAGAGGAATCCGGGGAGAGAGGAAAGAGGTTATGCCCCTCCATCCGTGGCGTGGCCACCATCTCCTCCTTTTCTTGACGTTCTTTGTAGAGGGACTTTGACGTGGGGGTCTAATCTCCCCTAGAGTGGGTCATTTATGCCATAGTAAAAAAACAACACACACACACACATTCCGGCCTTTGTGTGAGTTTAACAACTCTGGCAGAGTTCCACCCTTGTGCCCTTGACTGAGTCACATTCATGAGGCCCACGCCCTTCTCTGCCTCTCTTTCATCCTCTGCCTTCCACTACTGGCAAGGATCCCCATCATCCCCTGTTTGCATCTGAAGACGAAAGCTTCTCCCTTGTAAAATGGGTTAGTGTTCAGGGTGCCACAGGACTCCGGATCCTTTGTGCTGCCACAGAGGGGACACGAGGCCCTCCGCCATCTGAGGACAGGGGTTTTCCCTGGTCATTTAAACGTTTTGCTGCTTCCCAAGGGCGTTCAAAGCCCTGGTTTGTGGGTTGTTTGCTCATGTCCAATTGTCCTAGGATTGCCCCCTGGATTTTATTTCCGTGTCAAGGAGGAGTTTCTGCAGCTTCACAGAAATGCAGCAGGCGTCATTTTTGTTTGCTCTCCTGGTCGGAAATTTCACCACCTTCTTTGCCTGGCATCTGTGGAGGAGGAGGAGGAGGAGGACACCGACACATTCTTCCAGAGAGTTGATGGCATTTCGAAAGTGGGACTGAAGCATCTGGTGTTTGCCACAGGCCTCAAACAGGCTGGACTGGTTTTCTCTGGGTTTCCAAAGCCTCCCGGATCTGTTTGAGCAGCCCGAGGAGTCTGAGAGTGTGTCCGCCATGGGGAAGCACCAGCCTTCAGACCAGCTTCAGCGCTCCCTTCACTTTGGCTGGTCTTGTGGGGCATTCTGGAGTCTTGTCGTCCAGAAAGTTATTTCCCCCAGATCTGGCCTGGCTCAGAGGAGAAGAGTTTTCGGCCTGTACGTCCTGTAGAAGCAGGAAAGACAAAACTCTGACGACCGTGTTTTGGCCGCACAAGACTTATAGGGAAAGACTGTTATATATTGGGAAAAGTGGAAGGCAGCAGGAACAGAGGAAGATCTAATGTGTGGAGGATTGACCCAATAAGGGGAACCACAGCTTTGATTTTGGAAGGGAGCTGCACAGAGGCTGTTAAAGACAGGAACTTTGGAGGTGAATAGCTCCTCCCGACTGTGGCCAGACTTTTGGAAGAAACTTGATGACGTATTCTTTAAAGGGAAAATAGCAATGACTAAGGTGTGAAGGATTGACCCAATAAGGGGACCCACAGATTTGAGTTTGGAAGAACTGCACAGGGGCTGTTAAAGACAGGAATTCTGGAGGTCAATAGCTTCTCCAGACTGTTGCCAAACTTTTGGAAGAAGCTTGATGGCGTATTCTTTAAAGGGAAAATAGCAATGACAGAACCAGGTTCTCAGGTGGGGATCCTTCAACCCTTTGGCCTGCATGCGTTCCTGCTCTTGCGTGGATCCACCCTCATGGTCATCATCTCATCCATGAGGTCCTGTCTGTTTCGGCTGTTTCTGCTTCTTTCAAAAGCGTGCCCATTCACTGCTACGTGTGGATCGTTTTCACGGCGAAGAAATCCCAGCCTTGCATTATGAGTTTAGAGACATATATTTGGGTGGATCTCCTCTGAGAACAAATCAGCGGCCTTCCCAGGACTGAGATCATCCGTGTTTTGCCCCAAATGTGTGGGGAAGCAGAGAAGGATGCAAAATGGGTGGCCTGATCCCCCGAGACATGTCTGTGATGCCGTATATATATGCGCAAAGATGGCCGTAGAGTGAAAGGAACGGAGAGCATGTTCATCTACACTCTTGCATGTGTGAAAGCTAGACAGGGAAGAAAGCTGACAGGGAAAAACGTGGATTTGTTTGAAAGGTGGGGCTGGAGGAGAACTTTGTGGATACCCTGGACAGACAAACCAGCTGGTCCCAGAGCAAATCCAGCCTGATGAAATTCAGCCTGTCCTACTTTGGGCACCTCGTGAGAGGGGTCTCGGAGCAAATCCAGCCTGAGCTCTTTCTGGAGATGAAGATGATGAAATTGAGCCTGTCCTACTTCGGGCACCTCGTGAGAAGGCAAGATCGTCTCAGGAAGAGACGATAATGCTGGGAAAAGCGGAAGGCAGCAGGAGACCGTCTCAGGAAAAGACGATAATGCTGGGGAAAGCGGAAGGCAGCAGGAAAAGAGGAAGACCCCAATGCAAGATGGACTGGATTCCTAAAGGAAGCCACAGGATCGGGTCTATAAGAGCCGAGTATAGCTTTTGAGGACAGGACATTCTGACGTCACGTAACAGCAACCATGTGGCTGTTCGTTCTGCCGTTGATTTTGCCCAGGGTCCAAAGAAGAGGCTGCTGCTTCCCAAATATCGGTCACAAGGCAGGGCTGCCCAGATTCAAAGGATTCCAAACAACCAAACAAACAAATAAATGCACAAACCAACCAACTCGCCCCATATTTGCAAGGCAGGATCCGCCCAACTTTGGAAAGTGGCAGAGCCCACATGAAACGCAGGGGGAGACGTTTCAGCTCCCGGACAGCCAGTGACTCATTCCTGCCGTGACTGGGAGATATTAGGTTACTTGTTCATAAAAGGCCTTGTGTGTTTGTCTCTCTCCTGTGTGTGTGTGCGGGTGTGCGCATGTGTTGCCATGCCGACCGAGTGAGTCACTCCTCGGCTGCTGGGAAACCAGCTGTGGGTTTTCTTCTTCTTCTCTCACCCTTCATTTTTTTAAATTAAGTTTGGGGAGGCCTGTTTGGTTTCCTTGTGAGCAGGGAGTTTAATCGGCCCAGTCTGCCGAGGCAGCAGGAAATCAAGAGTTCTCTGGTGGGCTTCAGATCTCTGCACATGGGCAGGGGTCTGGATGTCCATGCGCTTGGCTCTGAGTGGGCTTAGCCATGGAACAAGAACGCTGGAAAGTGTTTTAAAAAAATAATGAACACATTCAGAGGGATGATTCCGAGAGAGGCTCTCCACATCAATTACCTTTTTCATTGAGGCCATTTTGAATAAATTTTATTTCTTCATATATGTAATTTTTAAAAAAATGTATTGACAGATTTGCCAGTTTTCAAACTTTCATCTTGATCTGAAGAAATTGTTGCGTTTTCCAAGGTCTCCTGGTGGGAGAAAAATCTCAGGGTGTGTAGCTCTTTATATATAGAGTGGTATGATATACCAGATGGGCGGGATATAAATCATGATTCAGTTATACTTACTGTATTTATTCATACAATTCTTAATCCTTATTTTTTTATTTCAACCCGTTCACCTCAGTCGTAGAATATTTTTTTCCTCCAAAGGCACACCAAAAAAGGGGGGGGGGAAGAACCACCCACTGTGGCTCATATACCATCATCTTGTAGACGAGGTAGCCATATTCGTCTGTGCCTTGGAAGTGAAATTTAGAAGATTTTTTTTAAAAAAAGACAGAACCGTGGGGGGGCCTTAAAGACTGTTATGTTTTTTAATGTGAGCTTTCTTGGACAAATCTGACATAGGAGGAGAGATCAAGATACCATCATATTCCCTGTATTTTACTATATTTCATTGCGGCATTCTCCTTCATGGACTGCTGCCTTGTTGCGGCATTCGTTCTGAGCCGTGTTGGGATTTGTATAGGTACTGTGGTGAGCTTCACATATGGTCTTTTCGTGGTGCTGTCAGCCGCCTTGCGCACTTTTTAAGGAGAAAGGCGGGGTGTAAAAATAAAAAGAAAATTTTAAAAATCGCCCCGAATAAAATGAATCCTCTCCCAGCTGTAACTTTCCTTTGTAGAAAAAACAACATGGGCCAGGACTTCTATTCCATCTCCTTTTAAAAAAATCTTAAAACTCCAGCCAAAAACGTTCCCTCGCCTCGGGGGTGCATGCTGGGAGTTGTAGTCCCATTAAACAGCAAATCCCTTCTCCAAGCCCTGGCGCGCCGGCGCCGCCTGGAAGCCTTCCTCCCTCCCTCCCCGCGCTCCGTGCGCCCTTGAGGACGCAGCGCGTGTCGCCGCCGGCGGC